AAAAAAAAAAAAAAAACAGAAAGACTGGGAAAGGGGCACAGGAGAACTTTTTAGGGTAATAAAAATGTTCATTTTCTTGAAAAAAAATAAAAAGAAGTTAGTTCTGAAACTCAAGTGCCTTGACTAGTCATGCTATCTATGTATTTTACTATCAATTATGTGCTTTTTATTGTTATTATGTTTTTGTTTACCTTCATGTTTGGAAAATAATACTTTCTTCTCCCTTTTATAGTAGTTGAGAAAGTGTCTTCTAGTTGGTTCAGTTACATAGGTGAACTGATTTGGGGACTTTTAAATAAGCAATTTTATAGGTGGCATGCAGATACAGCAAATATTGTGAATGAGGAATGTGAATGACTAAAGTTTGGGAAATATTGCCTTAGTAGAACACCACCCTACTTAAGATTAGGAAAGAATCAGGACATCTAGTATGTCCTCTGCTCCTTGATAGCTCTGCATGAGACCTCCCTTGAGGAATGTGATAGTTTCCTTTCTGCTTCTTTGATGGTTTGATCTGTACCTGGATAGACGGGAGCAAGCAAAATAGGGAGAAAGACCTTCTTTTTCATTAATGAAGATTAAAATCACCAATAGAAAATCAGTGGGGTATCATTTATTGAACATTTGCTATGTGCAAATATCCTTGCAAATCTTGCTGGGAGGTAAAGGTAAGTCCTATCTCTCCTGGATCTGGTATATGACCACAAACTGGGGCAATATAAGGTGGGAAAGGGCTAGTTCCACAGGAAAAGGAATGTCATGGACTTTACCAGGAATCTTCCCAAGATTTGGGGTGGGAGTTTCATCATTGCCAATACTTTAGGTTTTCTCTTAATGGCATCTTCAATATTAGGAAGGTTTCCTGAGTACCAGTTACTTGCTGGACTTGCTCGCTAGTGTGCTGTCAGAAAACTAGAGTTTAATTTTCTCTGCTAAAATCATAAAATGTCTTAGGGTATTTGTCTTCTCTTAGCAAAAGCTTATGAAAGGTTTTTCTTTACCTTTAGGTAATTTGTCTGGGAATAAAAAATTCTCTTATTAAATATTTCCTGTACTACACATTGTGTTTATCAGGTCTTTGTTTACTTAGAAAAACTGTCTTTTCAATATGAAAGAGCAAACTTCATTATAACATACAGATTTATGCAGTTTCCACACATCCTGTGACAAGCCCTGTAGTGTATTTGGTTATTAATTTTTCCTTTGCTCCACCCAAGTGCTGATTTGTTGGCTTCTGTTTTCGATGCTCAGAGCTTCTTCACTACACTGTTGATGGCATTTTTTAACAGAGTCTAAGAACAGGCTCATTACTTATAGTACAGTTTCCAGGAATCTTTTCTTGGGGCAGAATGGTGGCAAGGCATGAAAGGTAATTTTTTTAAATTGCTTATTTTGATGAAGTTTATGAAGGGCACATAGCATTCCAAATACATTAACTTTCTCAACTCACTTTGGTTAGGAAAACAATTTGCAAACAAATTAAAATGACAAACAAAGGTAGGAGGTACAGACAAAAATTATCGATGCTTTCATCTATACTTTGTATAAGATTTTTAATGATTGAACAATATTATTGTTGTCATTATTATTATTATTTTCATTTAGATTGGCTATGTGGGAGATGTGATGATACTTATGGGGGTTTTGAGAGAACTAAAGCTTTGTTACACTTTGACACTGGCTGGGGAACTTATTGCATAATATATCAAGATGTGAGTACCAGTAACCTGTTTTTACTCTATTCCAAAGTACTTCTTAAATCACATTAGAACTCTAAAATGTAATGAGAACCACATCAATGTTTTGCAATCTCTAAATGTTAGATTAAGACATGAGTGAAGTACTGTGTAGTCAAGTCAATGGAAACTTTTAAAGAAATTGACATTTCCCCTTAGAGCAATGTAATCACCAGAGGGTGTCAGCAGAGAATTTGGCTTTGGGTAGGACTAGCAATAAATTCAAATTAATGAATCCAAATCGAGTGTTTTCTATTTTCAGGTCACTTTGTTATGTACTGAAAAGTGAAAAGATAAAATCCAAAGCTTGGAAACAATCCAGATGTCCTTCAGGGAATAAATGGTTAAACTCGCTATGGTGGACCCTTACCACAGGCTACTATTTAAAAATAAAATGGAACAAACTTGATACACTTTAACAGTTAATAGTTTCGACTGATCTCAAGGGCAATTAGGTGAGTGGAAAAGCCAGTATCAACAGGTTAGATACTGCTTGATTGCCTTATATACAACATTACAGACATGGAGAACAAATGGATTGTTGTCAGGGTTTAGGTTAGAGGAGGATTGGGGGATTTGGGGACAGGATGTTGACTATTGGTGTGGGATGTTGACTATAAAGAGATAGTACCTGGGAAATTTTTGTGGTAATGGACAGTTATACATCTTAATTGTGTTGGTGGTTAAATGATCTACACATGTGGTAAAATTACACTGAACCACACACACACACACACACATACACACACACACACACACACACAAGTACATGTAAAACTAGTGAATTCTAAATAAGCTCTGTGGATTTTACCAAGGTCCATTTCACTGCTTTGATATATAAGATATTACCTTTGGGGGAAACTGAGTGAAGAGTATGTGGAATTTCTCTGTACTATTTTTGCCATATTCCATCAATTGATATCAATTTAGAATTAAAAAGTTTTAAAAAGTTAAAAGAAAGACATAACTCCTGTTCTGAAGATACTTAAAATGTACTAAAGAGAGAGAATTACACACAACTCTTCAAAAAGAAAATTCTGGAGCATAGTAAAAAGTGATTTAGGAAAAAAAGTATTAATTTGGGGGCATGAGGTTCAGGGAAAACTTCTGAGGAACCGTGGTGTTTTGGCCAGACCTTGGAAGAGGTGGAACAGCTTCCTCCTACGGAAGGAGAATGGGGAAGTGTCAGAGCTGAACAACGCACTGAGTGGTCAAATAACTTCTTTTCTCCTGGGTTAATGAGTCTCCGAAAGCCATTGTTTTAATCAGGTTTCACCTCTCTGAAACTTATTATACTTCCTGAAAGGAATTCACTGAATAATTTACATTTAACATGAATTTGTATTGATTGAAAGTAATGTTATTACTTTGTTCTTTAAAAAAATTAATATATTAATATATATTTAGCCTTCAGAAACTATAGTAACAGCCTGTTACAGAATTGTAAGCATGAGTTTTTTGCTTTGCATAAATGTAAGGGTAAGAAAAAAGGAAAAAGACTGCCAAATTTTCCATAAATTGGTATTCCAAAGTCTATAGTCAAGTTTCTCATCAGTGAAGGATTGCTAACTCTATGCCTACTTGGAAGTGATCCTGATGTTTCATGCAAAATAGTGAAAAATGTGTTATAATTGATCTGACTAGCAATATTTCACTCATCTCAATTTTTTCCCAGCTTTATTGAGATACAATTGACATATAATATTGTGTAAGTTTAAGGTGTGCAATGAGGTGATTTGATACATGTATATATTGTGAACTGTTTACCACAAAAAACATTAGTTTACACATCGCTTTACCTCCCATAATTACCATTTTGTTGCTACGAGAATGTGTAATCTCTACTCTCATAGCAACTTGATTTGAAGCAGAAAAGCTTAGAGTTTTTAAGAAATACCTTTTATTGAAATATATAACAGAAAAAATTCACACATTTTAGATGGAGCTTGATAATATTTTTACTGTAGTGAGAACACTTACCATGAGATCTACCTTCTTAACGTATTTTTAGTTGTAACAATTATATCGTTACTACAAAAACAAACTTAAAAAAATCACCTTGTAACTACCCTGACTCATTAAATTGTTTCAGATTTATATTCAATAAAGGCATACACTGGTTTTATAGATGTGCATATTTAAAATCATAGAATCATTCCATATTAGTTTTGCTTCTCTTCATATAATGTAATATCATGGGTATGTTTTCATGCTGCTGCATGATTTTCATAGTGATCACTGTCCCTTATCAATACCTATATATTAAATTGGTAAATGTTGTTTGGGGAAGAAAGGCTCCAGGAGACAGCAGCCCATGGGTTTGCCCGCAGAGCAGGGCACTGTTTCTGAGCTGGCTCCACATCGTCCAGGAATCATCTCTTTTGGAAAACACTATAGGACCGGTGCAGCCTGCATCAGAAGACTTGGTCTGATTTACAGATTTGCCCAGCATCCTTTGTTGGTCCCTTTTAATTCATTCTCTGCACAGCAAGTAGAGTGACCTTTTCAATGTACAGTGATTGGGTTTCCTTTAGGAAATATCTTTCAATGGCTTCTCATTGCTTTTAGAATTAAGAAAGAAAATCTTAAACATTTAGACACTACCTAGTCTGGTCTCTTCTTCCATCTCTAGTTAAATCACTCACCATGTTTCCATTTGCCAGTATTTTTATGGAATATTAAAATACCTCAAAAAAATAAGCCTGTAACAAGGGCACTGCTTGCTGAATAGTGAAGTCTCCTTATGTTTATGAAATGAAATTGATTTAGGCCATACAATTTATTTCTGTTGCAATGAGGGTGATTTTATCTGTATATTCTATTATGGGTCCAAGAACCACTTTTCCTATAGCCATGGGTAAGATCACAGGAAAAGACTACATGCCTGGAAGAATCTTAGGAGAATTTCCTGGATTTCTGATGTGGAATAATTATTGAAGAGGTAGGAATGTCTAGTACATACCCAGCATAGACAAGAAACTTTCACAAAGAAGTTGCAGGCCCTACTCCCAAATCTGTACCTCTTCCACTGCCATGGCAACCAATATAACTAAAAAGATAAGAGAAGTTTCCAGATAGGACCTTAAAAGAATTTCAACTTTCCTCTGAAATTTCAGACTTTGCCATACCCATGCTATACACTAAAAACTGTGATTCAATTAGATTTAAATATCAAATAGGCTAACACTTATTTATTTTTTGCCCAGTCTATCTTATTGTTTACAAACACTTGCAGATAGCCCCATGCAAAGATTCCTTTTAACATAAATAAAAGACAAATGTACTTATTATTTAATGTCACCTAGCAAAGTAAAAGTAATTTCATCCAAAATTTAAATTCTACATGCTCTTTGAACCAACTATTCTGGTTCAAAGATATTTATCCTGTAGGTATAAATGATATTTGTATCAAGTCTTAAACAATATTTGTATAATATTTACAACTCTGTGTAATTACAAAAATCTTGATGACCTTAATCTCTGTTAATAATGGATTTCCATGTAGATTTTGATAACATTCCATATGAGCTGATAGGGAATGATTTTCAAGATACATTAAGTGATCAAACCAAGAGGTAGAAAAGTGTATAGTATGGTACATTTGGGTGAAACAAATTGAATGAGTATCCATGGATTTACTTGAATATGCATAGTATAATTTGTAGGATACACAAAACATTGGTAAGAGCCTGCTGTCATTGAAGACTGTGTAAGCAGAAGTGAGGAGAGAAACTTTAATTTTTATTATATCCCCTCTTTTTATCTTTTGAATTTTGTGCCTGTGTGTGGTAGAATGGATTGTTTTCCCCAATTCTGCACTCCTGTATGATCCATTACATGTCCACATTCTTTGCCACGTGGTTTGCAAACTATGCTACCCCACAGAGGTCAGGCTTGGCTATGTGATCTGCAACAGCCAAAGGCTTGTTAGCAGAGGTTTAAATATGCCGGTGTGGCTTAGTGGGCCCTCATGTGCTCTTAAGTTTTGTCATGTGAAGAACAACCCTGAGAGCTGTCAGTTCCAAAAAGAGTAGACTTGTGGAGCAGACTTGGACCCAACCTACAGCTATGAGCCAAGCCCAGGTGATCTCAGCCTAGAGCAGAGCCACCCCAGCCAAACCCTAGGCCTCTGAGCATCAAAAAATGAAAGTTTGCTGTTCTAAGTTACTGAGGTGTTCATGCTTGTTTGTTACACAGCTTTGTTTTACCAATAGCTGAATGAGGCAAATCCCAAATTGTCTATTACCTGACTTCCATGTGGCCAGATTCCTATATTAACCAATGCTCTCTTTTCTCTCTGGAAAATTAACTGGCATCTAGTGCCTCTAAAATATTCATGATTAGTAGGTTAATCCAATATAGCCACATCCTTCTACTCCTTCCAGTTGAATTATAGGCTTACTAAGAAGTAGTATTTGTTGTCAGATCTATCTATGGTTGCTGTATTTTTTTGTATCAAATTATTGAATGAATTTTGATTAATTTTATTAAATGTGACTAAAAAAGAATGTATTGCTTGTATAAAAACTACACTGTACTCTTTAGAAGAGCTCAATAAAAGTTAATCACCAAAAACTGTAATACGATTAGGTAGTCTAATCTTGGTAAACAAATATTATAAAAACATGGAAGAATTTGTACTCAAGTTTCTTCCTCAGTGTTTTAAACTGTTATCTCTTAAAGATACTAAGACTAAAAGTTAAAATGATGGATTATGGATTACCTATTGAAGAATGATTATATGACATGATAATGACCACCAAGAGTCCTTGGCCTTACATGCAAATATTAATGAGCAAATTTACATTTACATGTTTGAAGTTAAAATACACTGTTGAAGGTATATTTATAATTTTCTTATGACTTCTTGAGGATCATAAACAATTTTCTATTAATTACATCTTCATAGAAAGTAAAGGATTTTTCCAAGTTCATACCATTCAGGAAAACAGACACTGGCACTGAAACTTCATAGAACTGTTGTACTAAATCCTAGAATCAATCTGGCATCATTTAGAGATGAAAATAGAGTAAGACTTGGGAGATTCCCAGTACTTCTCTTGCTGGTTCTTGATCAAGCTTTCTGGAAGCTATTTGAAATGTTATTTGGGTACAATTGCAGTTGTATTGATTCTACTTTGATAATGAGGTAATAATGGTTGATGAATTAAGTTTCTTTAGAGTAAAATGAGAGAATTCTCATGTTCTAACAATATTATTGTCTGTGGTCAATGAGTTCTAGTACACTATTATCAAAAATGTTTATTAATTAAACTTTGAAAGACAGTGACTTCTAGTGAATAATTTTAATAATTAATAATTCAATGAATAATTTTGATAATTTTAATAATTAGTAATTCAGCTTATCTTAGTCAATTTTGTCTCTTTCACTCTTATTCTTTCCTGGCTTGTAACAGTAAAACAAAATCCTGGAGTACTTAAATCTTTGTAGTTTTCCATTCTACCGTTTTCTTTCATACTTGATATGGGCCAGGACTTATTATATGGTTTGTTTATAAATGATCATAATGACTATTGCCCTAACTGTGCCTTCAAGTAAACCACAAGTCACAGCCACCCAAAATCTATTCCCAAATGCTGTCCTGACTAGGTCTTTCTCTCCAGGCTAGTACTCCTATGCTTGTGGTCAATCCTTTGAAAGAGGGGATGGGAGTGGGTATCATCTGCATGAAGTCACTGTACATACTTGAAACAGGAAACAAAAAAGTCTCTTTTAATTACTCTCTCAAGCATACATTCAGCACAGAAGAGTAGATCATTGGATGAAAAACTGAGTCTAGCCCTGACTGAGGGGAAGAGATTCTGAGATTTCAGATGCATGCATTCCTTCTAGAGCAGAGTGGCACAGTTGAAATAATTTCTAGTTGGGATGCTGTGAGAAAGGAACACCTCAGCAACAGCAACAAGGTGAAGGATGCCAGAGTACACCTCAGTGTTGATTAGTATTTTTCCTGAAGGCTCTTATGGTCTTAGAAGCAACTTTTCACTGCAAAGTGGATGTATTGTACTTACAGGGATATGACTTCATCAAATCTATGATTTTACTATACACCCGTTGAGGAGCATCGAGGCCCCAGATGAAATCAAAATGGTTCCAGTCTGGCAATAGCTTGAAGTAATGGAGATTCCTGATTTGGGGGAGTATCCTGGCCACATCTTGGGGTGTCACAAGGACATCATTTCCACCAGCCCAAATAGCAGTAGGCACTTTCATGGCAGTCAAGTCATATATAGGGGGGTGACTCTATGGAAGAGAGAGAAAGGACATTCATGAGAGCAAGTTTCTCATAGTAACAACTTAACTCAAGTAAGTAGAGAGACTGCTAAGTGGGTATTCACTATGTCCACAGTTCTGTTGAGGAAAATAGGAAGAAAGGATGGGATGGTCTCTGTCTTCAAGAAGTTTGAAGGAAGAAGGTAAGAGAGCTAAACAAACATCTGTATACAAAGTGGGGTATGTTAAATGTCAGAAAACACTTCCCATAAACAACAGAGGAGGGGACAAAGAAGAAACTGTTTCCAACAGAGGAATTTATGTGAAGAATTGTCATTTGTAATAACTCTTGGGGGATGGTTAGATTTTGACAGGGTAAATGTGAGAGGGCTTCCTAGTAGACATGAAGATCAGGTAAGCCACGGTCCAGAATGGCAAGCTGTCCACTGAACCCAGAGAAGAAAAAGTGTGAGGAAACAGTAGGATATAAGATTGGAGATGGACATTCAAGATCTAAATGCTAGGGTAAGGTATCTGAACATCTTTCAGAAGTTTGGGGGACAAGGCAGAGTCCTTTCTCAGAGCTCTGCTTTAGGATGACTGTATTTGCATCCATTTGTGGAATTATCTGAAGAAATATTAGGGCCATGTAAGTGTCAGGTTGGAAGTAGGTCTTGAAAAATCTAGACAAGCTGTATGGACAGTCCACAGAAGGGGATAATTGAAACTATGAGAATGCTAAATTTTCCAAGGAAGAAAGCAAGAGAGATGAGAATATTTGGGGGGAATGCTGACAGTCTGAGAGAGCTAGAGAGTAGCAAGTGTAGAGGACAAAGGGAGCAGCCAAAGGGAAGGGAACAACCAGAGTTCATTCATTCTGGAGTCCAAGTTAGGGAAGTGAGTTGCAAGGAAGCTGTGGTAACTAATGTAATATATTTTTGAGAGTGAGAGTAGGCAACTCAATTGAGCAACTAAAAGCCACAGGTGACTTTGAATAGAGTAGCTGTAATAGACAGATGAGGACTGGAACTGTATTTCTCAGGGTTCAGGAGTAAATGGAAGAAAGTAGAAAGTGGAGATACTCAGCCTTTTTACATATTAAAAAGTGTTGATAAAAACAATGATGGAATGATGACTTGATAGAATTGATGGGCTGAGGGAAGGTTTTTTGTTTTCATTTCACAAAGGACAAGGGTTCATAAAAGATAATAAAAAGAGCAAGGAGGAAGAGGAGATGAGAAGAGATGAGGTCAAGGGTACAAGACCCAGGCTAACTTGGAAAATAAGAGGACACTCACTTTCTGAAGGAGAAAGGAAGGAGAGAATCAAGAGGACAGTGACACTGAAGGTGGTTAAGAGGGAGTGAAGAAATTTCATTCATGCAACAAATAAATATTAGGAACAGGTAAGTGTCAGGTTCTCTGCCAGGTAAGAAAGCACTGGTGAACAAAACAGAAAGAAATCCCTACACACACAGAGTGTACATGGGTTAATCCTCTTATCCCAATAAAACACAGAGGGGGCACAGACTGTGCTGGGGACTTAAGGAGAGGGCAAACTCTTGAGACTAGAGTGTAATGAAAATCGACTTCAAATGACTCCAAATCATGAACAAAATAGAATTGGTCCAGGTCTAGAATAGGACCAGCTCTCTGTTGATAAATTCTAAGGATATTTATACTTCTCCATTCTTAAACCATCAGATTGTACACTCAATCTTACCCTTTTACTTGTCATTTTCACCTAAAACTGGAAGAAAAAGAACTCGACTCTAATGGCTCTAATGGCTTTAACTATGTGTGGCTTTTTGTTCCTTTTTTGGTAAATGTAAACAATATATAAATAAAACAAGCTCATTAAAAATAATGGAAGAAAACGAAAGTATGTAAAATCCAGAATGAGAGCCTCCTTTACTCCTTCATGTCCAACCACTTCACTCTTCCTTTCTTTCTCTGAAGGTAATCACTTTAACCTTTTCTTTATTCTGGCCCTTTTCTAAGGATTTGCAAATATGTGCATTTGTGAATATACATAGTGTAAAGAGCAGGTGAAAACTGGGGGTGCTGGAAATATGCTATATCTTGATTTTGATGGGGTTAGACAAATGAATACATTTGCCAAAACTCATTGACTTGGACACGTTCAAAATGAATTTTGTTGTATGTAAATCACACCTTAAGCTAACTAAAAATACAACAAAAATATATAGCTCTCATAGTTGTCTTAAGGACAAGCAGAATTATCTTTAACAGTGCAATTCATTACTGAGAAATTGACTGGTCTGACTGGTTCAGAAACAACTGAATTGATCTATGTTTGTAATAATAAGTAGTTTTAAATATGTCAGTCTGGGAAAACATTGGAAAATTTTTATTTCATGTGTTTAGTTCATACTGAGAAGCCCAGCCTCTGAGAAAAGAAGTGGTGGCAACAGGATTGATTCAAAGTACAGGAAGGCTAAATGAGTCTGCAAATTTTGGTGTATAAAGTTAGAGGGAAAGAAAGTTAAAGTTTAACAAAGTTAAAATCTTAACTTTCACATGGAATCCTAATTTTTTCTGTTGGTATCCAAAAGTGTGTATTCATTTACCCCTTAAATTCTTATAGATTTTTATGAAACAATTTTCATTATTATGCAGCTATTAAAATTAGGTGAAAAAACATATCAGTAATGTTGGGTGTGTCTTGCTATACTGCAAATGAAAAAGGAAGATTCAAAGATGCATAAAAGCAGTGATTCCAAGAATATTGGAATAAATGCAATAAAATATTGATACATCTAGTTATCTCTGGGTCAGGGGATTATAAATGTTTAATTTTTAAGTATGTGCTCCTTTTATTTCTAGATTTTATGCAATGCATACATACCAAAATTGGACATTTTCAAAAAGGTTCTATCAAGGTGAATGCCACCAATTGCCAGATAGGATTCTTCCCATTTGCTAATGGTTCTTTATTATAATTTCTCAAGCCCACTCTTGTGGGGTTATTCAGAGAAGCTCACCTGATTGTAGTGATGCATGTTCTCAGCTTCACTTCCCCAGTCATAAGCTCTGAACTCATCAGATTGGTAAAGCTGCAATAAATGTTTTTTAGAAAAATAATGTTCAGAGTAAGAATCATCATTCTTCATGGAAAATCTTGGAAAAGCACCCTATACTGGGGAGAAAATGAGGTTTCTGGGTCACCAAAGGGAGGTAAATATATTTTTCCCATTGTGAAAACAGGTCGACAGACAGGGAAGCAAATGATCTCTCTTGTTCTGAAGGAAAAGCTAATGGAAAACCAAGACTCATTAGAGGGAAGTCGAATCTCTGATATTTCGCTCTCAGGCAAGACTTGGGCCTCTTGTGGCATTCCCAGTTTACCTCTTGCTTCAGCTTGGGGCCTGTTTCACAAGTTTCAGTTTAAGACAGGGTTCATTTATGTCACCTACTTGGCCCACACCACACCTTGTCCTTTCTCTTAAAATCCAAAGAAATCAAACTATAAAGATGGTGACAAGGACAAAAGAGAAGCTATAGGCTAAGGCTCTCAGAGTACACTTGTTAATTAACTCTGTCTTTTCATATATAATGAAAATAAGGATTGGAATGGTTTTCCATGATAAAGGCACTACCTGTTTTATATGCAAGATATTCTGTATTGAAGATCCAGTGGGAGTATGTGACATATACACGTCCATTCGACTCTGAAAGGAAATAAAACACATTACAGAAATAATTGCCCAATGAAACAAACTATGCCTTTCAGAAGCAGATGAATTATGCTAAGAATTAGTAAACAGATACTGGAGTTTTGAAAATGGTGAGGCAGAATCACCTAGATAAATAAAAATTCATGTCAGGCAAGGGAATGTGAGTGAACCATGGTCTCACTACTGGCCTGGGTTTCTGGAAGGCAAACCTGTACCAGCTCTGAAGCTGTGGGATAATTTGTTTATTTTGAAATAGAAGAAGCAACAATGGACATCATGGAGCAAAGCAACCAGGGAAGGTGTATGTACACATGTGTAGGTGCATGTGTATGTGCATGGACATGCACTGTCTCAGATCAGTAGATCAAAAACCTTGGATTTCAGGACTTCACTTTGTTAATTAGAAACTTTGTGACTTTGGGCAAGTCATTGAACATTTCTGCATTTCTGTATTTTCATCTAGTAAGTGAGCATACTCATAATCACACTATCAGTTTGCCAGGGTTTGTAAGGATATACTAAAATATTGCAAAGGAAAAGCTAGAAACCAATCACTTCAATATGCAGTGTACTTCAATCTTTGTAAACTTTGTAGAGATGAAAATTATAGAGCTATAACAGTAATCATAATTTTATGTCTTAGAATACTGTATAATGAAATTCTAATTTAGGGAGCTATTAAAACCCGTACTTTTTCATAAGCAGGCTCTGTACAATGGTTCATCACAGTTCTCAGTCTAACACAACTTAGCCTCTTTAAGAATAGGGGTGGGGTGGGGCTGGTGGACAAAAGCTGTTTTAGGACTAGTTCACTGTAACAATATCATTGGCTGCCATTTGGAATATGTTGGAGATTACTGTTCAACCACACCAATCTGCTAATGTAAGCTCCTCCTCTTCCTCGAGTTCTTGATAATGGGAAACAAAGATTTGGTGAAACAGGACCACTGCTTTTTCATGGGAAAGGGAGTCCATCTGCATTCCATTCTGCCTTGCGCTTTCAAGTTCAGTGGTAAGTTTTATTTGAGGCCAAAGTCGCCCAAGAAGTAAAGGCACACATGAAATAAATTCCATGCTCACATGTGCTTCTCTTCTTTCCTAGGATTTTGTTTTTTTTAATGCAATATAATAATTATAAAAACAAATTGACTGTCATAGTGGTGACTGATTGTGAACACGTGAAACTGTTACCCATTGAGGAGCATCTGTTTTCCTAAATTTGACCAGGGACAGAAGGATGAAGCTGCCTATTGCCTTCCCCAGTCTTCATACTCACAGTCCATGGAATACCTAATCTGTGCATAGCAAGTCTCTGCCTTTAAAGGTTTAGAATACCATTTAATTTATGCAGTGTAACAGATACATTAAAGTGAATCAGAGAGCTGGAATGTCTTAAACCATCAAATGGTCCTATAATCATTATACATACCATATTCATGTTTTTCTTGTTCCATCCAGCCCATAAGGACATAAATTCTCTACATATCACCCATAATACTTTATTGTTGCAGATTCTGGCAATAAGCACCTTTCCTTTCTTATCTTCTAAAAAGCAACCTTTGGTACCAAAAAAACGCTGTAAAAATAAAACATAATTATCTTTCAAGAAACATTTTCAGGCTTTTTTACCTTCCCTTCATCCCACGAATGAGGATTCTTGGGGATCTATTTGTATTTGGACTTGCTCTTCCTATCAAGGACACCAAGTCACTCAGGAAAAATAAATCTTACGGCTCCATCTCTACCCAGGGAAGATCATCAGGCATAATTTAGAGGGATATTGCAGTGAGGATGCTCAAGCCCAGATGTGCTTCTCTGATGAAGCTCCCCTTGTGCTCTGTCTAATCAGTGATTGCCTTTAGTGCTTATTGCTCATTAATTGGCATGAAAGATAGAACAATTTCTCTTTATGGTGAAATATTGCCATGAACAGGAAGGAAAAGCAGGGTTTTCCCTATTACCCATGCGCTCATCCTCTTTCCAGTAGTGCCCAGATCAGCCCACTCCTATGCTGAAAAGTAGAGAATGGTGTGCTGAAGGGAGGGCGCCACTGGACAGGAAAAAATTGATGCCATGTTAGGAACATGGTTAAAACATCTAGGGCTTGGGAAAGAAAGCTTGGGTGGGGATCTTGGGAGAACTGGAGTTTTGGGGGGCAATAGATACTGTGAGATGGCAGGAGGGGTCAGGGAATGAGCCTTAAAGTTGCAGGAAATTTGACAGTAGGGAATATGAAACCGAGATAGGTCAGAGACAGTATTTGCCTCAGACCTGACCTATGTAGACAAACCAGTACATATGCAAAGCTGGTGTATGTAGACACAGATGTGTCTGTCTTTGAATTTAACTAATTTGTCTGCTGAACTCTGCCCAAATGTAGTGAACATACAAAACTAACTGATGTCAACTTTTGCACTAGAACTACAAACCACACAAAAGGAAAGTTACATCACTTGAGCTTACAGTAAACAATACAGTAAAACTACTATCAAACCAAACATTAGGCCCTATGGAAATTCTTCCCTGCATTAGCTCAGAAACACATTGTTTTTTATTCCTACCACTCCACCCCAAACCAAGACCTCATCTTATATATGAATTACTGTGATGTCCTAATTCATCACCTTGTCTTCATTTGGACCAAAATTCATCTTATCCTTCACTCTACATTAAAGAGCAATTTTGGTAAAACACTATGTTTACTGTGGCAATGACCTTTTTAGAGAAATAAAAGGCAAATAGAAAAAATTTTTTAAAAGCTTCTAATGGATAAAATCCCGAATCTACAACTGGCAATCAAACTGCTTTTCCAATCCTTGGAAAATAACTAATAAATATTTAAATGAAAAAAACTGAGCTGTAAGATGTTTAGACTTTGGTATCTTAGCTTCAGTAAATTAAAGCAAGCTCCCATATGAGAAAGGGTATATTATCCAGGTCTATCTAACATCATAGATAAGGGATGTCCGTGATCATAGGTAACTGAAAAAGATGTCATTCATTTGGGCATTGTGAATCCAATGACCTATCCCGTGGAACAAGAGAAATTGTGAGTAGATGTTACACTCACACAGCATTTAATGCAGTTATAAATTGTGATGTATATTCAGGTGTGTTAATGACTGAATATAGTATGTTGTATAGGGGAACTGTAGACACTGTGGATAGACATGCACATGCAGATACACACACACACACACAAGCACACAGTTGTGGAGTCTGGTCTCTACCGATTTCATCTCAATTTCCCACTTCTACATTATAATAGATTTAAATATAATAAGGATCTATTATCCAAAATGCAATGCTTACATACATTTTAGCAAAAGGGGAAGCCTACCTTGATTATGGAATTTGGAAGTAGAAACAACCTGGTAAAAATGCCCGAGGGATATTTGAATGAGAAGAAAGGACCCAAGGCAAAATACATTTTGATTCTTTGTGCCAGTTCAGGCATGGTGGAAAAGGCTGCAAACCCTGAGAGAACAGGAGACAAGACATGCTTATAAAAATTAAAATAATCATGCATATTTTGGCTAACAAAAGTGGGACTCCGTTGATGATCAAGGTATTGATGAGGCTGCTATAAGAATATTTATTGCCCCTTGCACAATTTCACTCAAATTAAAAATACTGCATTTTCATACAACTCAGTCTCTTAAAATTGGAAACTTGTAGAACATACTAACAAGTTCACATTTTTAATAGTATGGGTTTCTTTTAGTTTTTATTTCGAACTAGATTATTTATTTCTAAAAGATATAGGAAAGCATTAAGACATTGATTTTCAAAGAGTAGGATCTTGAACTTTAAAAAAATTTCCACATAGTGTTTACATTTAATTGCTCTTCCATAAATATCAATCACATGCTAAATAGATAAGCCCAGCTGATGTATGGTGTAAGCTTTTGTGTCTCATCTCAAAAAAATTTGATTATATCATTTCAAACTGTTCAAATATAAGTGTTCTTTTTCTTTTTTTAAATCCCATGTGGGTTGTAAGGAAGGTAAGAGTGATGGCTACTTATCATTCTTCAGGGATATTTCACGACATTAGGCTTCACGTCCTTCAGCTCAGAGGGGAACTGGAAACTTACTCTTTGGAAATACTTCTTTGTATGTTGAGCACTTGTTATTCCTTGGAAATTACAGCACCATCACAAGATCCTTGCTGTGACCAGAAATGGAGGAAAGATTTCCCCACATACAGTCTTGAAATTCACATTTGTAGCCACTTAGGGCATGAGAATTATATTCCCAGCACAGAGGACGGAGAATTGAGGGGGCTGTAACTGACAGTTTCTCTGTTCCAATTTGAAGGCGAATTCTTGCAAGACTCTGACTCTTGTAAAACATCGACCCTTATAAACATACCTATTGTAGTGCCAAGTGAATGTCCAACAAAATACAACTTCTCCTGACCGGTTTTGTTCACAATGAAGTCTACTATTCCCTGGAGATCATATTTGGCCATTTCATCAAAACTGCAAAGTGAAACAGGGCTTATAAATACTTTCAACTATGTTTAAAACCTGCATCACCTGCTCCCTTATTTTTTTTACACACAGAATTCTATGCTGTCTACTTATCTGGTATGTATTTATCTAATAACATGTAGGCTATTGCACCTTTGTTTGCTGCCTTGGTAGGTGTGACTGTTTAGTAACGAGAGTGATTTCAAAGCTTAGGTGTACTTCTGAAGTTCTGTCTCATCCTTGCTCCTCTTGCTCCTTCCCCTTGCATTTTTTTTAGCTGTCCTTTCCCCATCTGGTTTGCATGTCTCTACTTCAGACTTCTCGGGACACTTCAAGACCCTTAGGGCCATTTAGTCCTTGGCCTTGGAAACAGAACCGGTTGTAAATCTTGATTCTGCAGTGTACTAGCTGAGACACTTTTCGTAAGTTAACTAAATACTCTGAGGTTAAGTTTCCTCATCTGTGAAATGAAGATGGCAGCCCTATATAGCAGAGCTGTTGTTGGGGTTGAACAGCGTTAAAGGAATGGCTCCGGCTGCTATTAGGCACTCAATCAGGTGCTGCTATTTTAACATTTCTGATCATGTAGAGATATATTCAATATATACCCAAATCCTATAATACCAGTTCAGTCAGTATTAATACAGGAGAACAAAAAGGCCTACACAACATATAGTTAAGTCAGGTACCCTATGAGCCAGAGGCCTGTTTATTAAAAGAACATGTAAAGAAATCTCTAGATTGACACTCCTAAGTATAAGAGAATTATTGTGAAGCCTTAAGGTAAACAAGCTCCAAGCTCCCAGCCAAGGATCAGTGACAGAAAATATTTCCTGATGCTTGCCTCTGCCCCAAATGTTAATCCTAATATCTTAGTCTTTCTTTTCCTCTCAACTTGTCAGTGGATCCTGAATATTTCTTGAATATGGCTCTGTTCTAGCAGCAAGCTTATAAAACAACAGGCAGCTTAGGCCTGAGAAAGGATGCCCATTGAGGATATCAGCCTGACCTCTGGTGACAACAGGAAACATTTTGACTGAAAGAAGCAGTCAGCGTATCAAAAGCTTCTTCTCCATTGCCCATTATCAGTATCTTAAAGGCCTTGCATTGCACTACTCCTGAAAATGGCATTCTATAGTCTCGACCATTGTTTCTCTAAGTAAAATAGAGTACTGATATACATCATCCTGTCAAAACGGATTAGCTGTCTAAGAGAAAAGACTTGTCATAACATCACTAGAATGAGTGCAAGCTTCATGAGGGCATGGACTTTGTTAAGTCTTGAATTCTTAGGGCCTAGAAAAGTGCGTATGTAGGCATTCAATAAATATTGGTTGAATGAATGCATGCATTGGTAATAAGAATTTCCAGAGCTGTCTCTTGGAACATATTTGTACTGTAGTATTGGATAGAATATTAAAATGATCTTGTTAAAATGATAAAATTTGCCTGTGGGAAAATCAGTGGAAATCAAGGCTTCTCATTATTTCTCTCCTTTGAAATGCTAGCAGAAACTACAAGGAGCTATATGATCCTTGTTAATGTCATCCACACTATGATAGTCAAGGAAATTGTCTCAAACTTTTTCATGATTTTCTTAGATGCAATTTACCTAAAGGCCCAGAATTTCTCTTCAGTGACAGAGAGTGTTTTGTGTCTTCGCGACCAAGTGTTCCCCCTACTGTTTCCCATCCAGACGTCGTAACCTGCATCTGCTAAAAGGAATCCAAGGCTGCCATTGGCATAATTCTCAAGCCAGTAGGCATTGTCTGCAAACAGGGCATGCTGCATGTACACAACTGGCCGGGAACCTGGACAGGATGAGGACGAGGGGGGAGAGAAAGATTAACAGAATAATTAATAAGTAAGTTGGGCATCTCAGGAACATGAGAAACACACATGCACACACACATACACACAATGCACTGGGAAGAGCAAAAATCAAACACAGCATTCACTTTTCCCATTGTCATTAGTGTGGAGCATTATAATCACATGTTTCTTGAGCATACACTTTGTACCTGGTGTTATACTGAATGATTGACAGACATGAACTTATTATATCGTACAATAATTCTGTGAAGTAGCTACTGTGTTGAGGCTCCTTATTTTACAGATGTGGAAACTGAGCTGTAAGATAGCAGCGCAACTTTTGCAAGGCGTCATCCAACTAACAAAACGCAAAGCCAGGAGTCAAGCCAGACTGTGTCATGCCCAAGTGCATGCTTCTAACTGCTTCGCTCTGTGCTTTCACATGTACGTATCTCCTGGGTTTGGCTCACAAAGACATGAAAGTGGGCACATTTGTTGGAGTCCTACATCTCTGCCAAGGAGGAAGTGGAGGTGAGCATAAATGGACAATGACTCATCCTGGGCCAAACTTCTAACCAAATCCCCAGCCTTTGCTCACAGAAGGCATCTGAAAACTATAATAGTAAAATCAGCTACACATCCCTGTGCCAACTCTCAAATTCCTGAGGGAGAGAGAATTCAGGGAGATGAGAAGAACTGGGGTGGGAAGTTCAGAAAAGGCCTTATGCTTTAAAGGTTAAGCACAGGCTCTGGGGTCAGGCTGCCTGGGTTTGAGTCCTGGTCAGTCAGTTGCTATTTGTGTGAATTTGAGCCTGTTACATAAGCTGCTTCAAGTCTATTTTATTGTCTATAAAATGAGAACTATCACAGGGTTGCTGGGAGGTTTAACTCATTGAAATTAATTTGAAGCTTCTGAAAGAACAATACAACTACTAAATTTTAATTCCAAATCTTTCCCAAATTCTCCCTCCTTAAGCAAAACCTTTCCTGTGGAAGTGTTCTCCTTTTATATTTAATAGTCCCCTCTCCTCCATGCTTGGTGTTACCAGATTTAGTAAAAAACAACAGATTTAAGAGAAAGACCCAAGATGCCCTGTTAAATTTGAATTTTAGGTAACAATGAATAACTTCTTTTTGCGTAAGAATATCCTAAAGTGGGTCTTACACAAAAACTCACTTATTGTTTATCTGAAATTCAACTTCAACTGGGCATCTCCTATTTTATCTGATAACCCTACCCATTTCCCATTCCCATTTTTCAGTAGGAAACTCTTGAATTACAAATGTCTTAGAGAGAATGTTAAAAGAGGTGATTTTAGCTGCTTCTGAATGCGGATGGTGAGAAAGACAATGAGGTGATCACTGTAAATGATCTGCCTCCCAGCCTTGGCAGATATTTTTTTACTCTTCTCTCTCCCTCCTCAATGCTTTGCAGTTCTATTTCCCCCTTTTAAAGGGTATAATTCCTCTTCTTTTTGCATGGCTGGCTCCTCATGCTAGAATTAAAAGCTTATTAACACTACGATCTTTCATTCTACAAACTGCCCCTTTGGTCAAAGCATATTAAAATTTTCTTTGCTGAAAAAAGTTTCAGAAATGCTACTGTCATTTAACTTGGTTCTTCATCCTGCAGAAGGAAGCTTATGACTCAAGTGGGGGCAGTAGAGATTCTTTCTGGGTTCCCCACAGCAACTTCCCACAGTGCAGCAAATCTCCGTCCAGCAGTGAGGAAACCCACTTTTCTGGGACACAGCCATTTTTCACAGGAGAAACTGGAGAATGAGCTAACAAGATGTAGGCTCCCCCTGTGCATTCACATCCTAACTAGCAAGCCTGGCTGCGGTCAGCAAGATCAGTCTTGTCCTTCGTATTTTTAGGTTCTTGTTCCCAGAGAATTGCAAAAGAATGAGACTCCCTGTTAACCATTTAAAGACAAATCCAACATTCAAACCAATTTGATAAATCTGTCACTCTTTTAATGCATGACATTTCAGTCATATGCAGTCCTTTCAGGAGAGAGCATCTTGTACCTGTGCTCTTGGTGTTGCTTTGCCCGTGGGGAATTCTGTTGATGCTGAGTATGTACCCGTCCTGAGTGGTGACTTCATACTCTTCACTGGGGTAGCCATTGTAGGTGATGATTTCACTCTGCCCAGAGCAAATTCAGGCATTAGCTAAATGTCTTCTCTAAAGGTTATCAGAAGGAACTAGAGCAAAGCATCTTGCGTGTGCTTACTGGGGTGAGTTACCTGAAATTGCCGGGTGAATGTAAAATCAATGTAATCACATAAAATCTTGATAAGAAATAAGTAGAATACTAGAAAATGTCCCCTACTAGCAAGTTTTAGCATTGATCCATTAATCTGACAAAACAACCTTCTCAATTTAATTACTTTCTGAGACCCCTCTTGGTTAAGAGATAATAAAACCACATTCACATATATCATCCAACTGGCTTAAAATATAAATTATTAATATTCTTAAAATATAAATTCTAAAGAGGAGGTTGTTTATAAAAAGTAAAAGTTGTACTTTTCAAATTGTGAATCAGCCAAAAGAACAGATCTACTGAGCTTGACTCTTGGAGAAATGTTAAAAATCACCAATGTTTTATCTGTTTTCTTATCAGAGATTTTTCTACTATAGCAATCCTAATAATGATAATAGTTTATTAATCTCACAGCCCAATTACTCTGCCTTCTATGATGCACTTCGGAATTTCCATGACTTACGATATTCATCCACACTTCTGGATTTGCTTCATTTTCCAAATTAAAGAATCCGTTAGCATTTAAAGTTCCATACATCAAGCAGGTTGTTGTTAAAAACAGCCACATCACGGGAATGCCTGACATAAAACATTTAATAATCATAGATGAATCTTCTACATCGAAGTTGATTAATGAAAGGAAAAGAGCACCCTCCTGAAAACCTGACATCCCAAGAGAGCTGAGAAAATGTGCAAGGAAGTAGGTACAGTGAGCCGACTCTGAACACAGTTAATCTAGTTCCCATAGAAACTGCTTTGACGTAGTCCAGTTCTTAAAATGAAATGAATTTAACCTAGTGTGGAGGCTTTTTTTGTCTTATTTTAATCACAGTTTTTCAATTATTTTAAGTGTTTGCTCACCTGTGAGTTGCCAGAATACTTAAGGAGTCAGAGAAGTTTCCATACCATCGTGAAGCTGAAAATGGAGTTACTCTGTAGCCCAGCGTTCCACAAAATAAGAATAGTGAGCAATGAAGCTTCAAACAAGGAAATAAGCTTATGATCAGTTTCTAGTGATGTGATTATTTCCCTGGTCATTTTGCACATTGAAATATGCAATCTCTACTCTCTGGCATAGCTTAAAAGCAGGCCTCTTCAAAGGCAGGCTGGCATCACTGCGGTGTGGAATGCCAATCATATGAGCGCCCCAGTCCAATGGCCTGAGTTTGAAGGCCATCCTTCCCACGAACAAGATTTCTGACCTTGGGCAAGTTATTTATAGCTTTGTCTCTTGGTTTCTTTGTTGGTAAAATTAGATAACAGTGTAACCAGTCTCATAGGGCTATAGGGAGGATTAAGTGACATGTAAAACACTAAATGCAGTGTAAGCTTTTTCACCATTTTTCTTAGTCTAAGAATGAGCAAGCCAGTAATATCAGAGAGCCTTTACTGTAACAAATTCATGACCGACTTCCAGAAATTCAGAATTTATTTTTGAACTTACTTTCAATATTTTTGCTATCTGATTAAAGATTGTTTTATATCTGTATTATATGATTTTAAATATTTTTGAAACTATTAACAGTTAATATAAATTGATATTAGTGTTTAGCATGTGCAAGGCACTGTTCTAAATGCTTCATGTACATTATTTAAACCTCAAGGAAGCTCCCTGAAGTAGGTACTATTATCCTCATTTTAACAATGAAAAAGACAAAGGCTTGGAGAGATTTAAGACCTGCCCAAGGTCACAGAGTCAACAGATGTAGAACCAGCACAGGAATGCAGGCAGCCTCACTTCACCACAGAGCCCTTACACCTGAACCACCACTCCCAGCCTGCCTTGACCTTGCCTAGTTAAGCTGTAATAAAACTTGATCTTACCTAGTTAAGTGAGCTTCCTGGCTCCCAAGGACTTGTAATTGATTGGGAACTTCTGAACTCTCACATGTGACATCAGGCTGAAGAATGAAATTCAGCTGAAGTGACAGTTAGAAGCTAGAGAGATGAGAGACAGGAGGTCCGTAGAAACGAGGAAAGCGTGGACTGTGACACAACCAGGGCGTTTTCTGACATTCCAATGCCGTGATGCACTGGCAGGTTGGGAAACAGTGGCCTACCTGATGCCAAATAACCAGTTTGACTGAATCTTCCATGTTTCCACTGAGTGTCAGTCATGGTTGGGAGGGGTGAGCAAAATTTTCAAAGCAGCGTGTCAAATGGGGAAGTAAAATGTGCTCAGGATCCTAATGGACAGAATCAGATAATATCTCTCTTCTCCACCCCACAGCGTTTGAGAGTCAGATGAAACGATAAATGTGAAAGTACTGATGGCCACCATGAATGTGTAGGGATGTGACTGGCTGTAACTCAATTGTGACAGTGAGGCCATCCTGACTCTTGAGGCCAGAAGAGTTTGGGACTAGCAGAGTGGCAGAGGTGACTGACGCTTAGCCTGTCAGCTGGCAGCAACCGCTGGGCGTACTGACCCCCATACCATTTACCCATTTCCCGAAACAAGGAAGAAACAGAGGCCCGAGGAGAATGACGACAATTTATCCCTGAGCCCTACCTGAAATAATAGTGTGGGTACGTGTGCGTCAGTTTTCTCTCTCGCATTGTGTGCCTGCAGAGCCCTGACCGGAGCCGCATCTCTTTCATCCCCCAGCATGAAGAAGGTAGGGAAGCCAAGTGGCTGCATAGCATGATGCAGTATATTGGTTTGGACTCATTCTCAAGTCCTTTCAGAAATAAAGATGTTTTAATATTTGTCCAAATGCTAAAATCTGCTTCACAAGTGTGGAGGGAAGGGAAGCACTCCGCTTCAGGAATAGGTGGAGAGCTTATGCACCACTCCACACATTCGGCCTTTGATCAAAGACCCGACCACGCTATACCCGGACTGACGATATGATGGTGCAGGTATGCAGAAGTGCCTGGACTCTCCTGGGTTAGGACTTTAAAAATCCCTTCTGAGAAAACATCGGTGGATGCTTTATAGAGTTCTAAGGATAATAATAACAGTGTTATTAAAATTAATGTTGGTTCACTGCCATGACTTAATGTAGAAGTAGCATGAATGTAGTTAAACTTCTCAGGCTTTACAGATTGTAGACTGGTGCAAATCTCAGAAGAATAATTTCTACACCATTGTCTTTTCAGAATCCTTCTGCAATGTTGAGGATTGTCTGTGTAATCTGCAGAATTCTTCCAACTCTTTCTTGGACAGGTATGAAGCCATATCAAATAAATGAATCTAGCATTTTTCACAATGGGTTTATCACTATTATGTAAGCTTGCTATTCTAGTAAGTATTCAGTATCTTGAAATGAATTAAAATGAAATACATTGAAATTTTTTTGGCTCTGTGAAATACAAAATGGTAGCTCCTTTCCACAGAAGTACCAGTTTTCCCTGCTTTTTCCCCCTTTTTCACAAAACAAGATGGTCTTAGAGATGGAAAGGGATTTGAGCAAAATGTAAATTAAGGGGTGACTTTTAAGAAGCCCTGTGGTATTTCTGATATCTTGATCCAAGGATCATATCACAGTCTGAGCAAATTGTTTTCAATAGGTTGCCTATTCAAATACCAAGATCAGTAAAAATAGATGGTTGAATTTAGATCCTTGAACTTGGTGTCTATCTGTGACAATGATTATTATTTTCCTTCCAATGTTTTAATTCAGAAATACATTTGCTATTACAATGTATCATCTTTTTTTGCTTTATTGCTTGCTTCTTTCTCCCTAAAGACTGCATTTTCTTAACATTATATCAAAGGAAGCATAATTTTCCCTAGAAAACAACTCAAACTTAAAAAGATTAGGTCATAACCAACAAACAGAAATGAATAAAATTTTAGAAAAATAAGTAGCTTGAAACCTTACCCCTTTGAGAAGTAAGTTTGCTCTGGAGTAAAAGCCTTTGCATGAACAGAAATACAGAATTTGTTGCTTGCTCCCTAGATAATTTATCTAATCCATTATACATCCTAAAATTCAAACTGGGTTCACTAAAGCCATAAAGGTATGGGGTGTGTGTGTATGTGTGTGTGTGTAAAATAATTGTTTGGTATACTTTGGCTTTAGGAAATGCACTTTAAATTATATTTAAAATTTTTATTTCTTTGCCCATAGGCAGAATGGGAAATATGTATGATATCTAAAAGAAACAATGCTGTTTTTGAGATTAACTATTAGAGTTCATTAACTCTAATATATATAATACATAATATATAGTTCATTAACTATTAGTGTTAATAAATCTCTGTTTCAGCACCACTCTACTAAACCCATCTTCGATGAACACAGTATGGCTATGACAAAGGCAGAGGAGAGAAAAGACAAATAAGAAGTTCTATTCATTACAGTTAACTGAAATATTAAAGGTTTCTGCAAAGAGACCATAAAAGGCTAATTGAATGTACACCTATCCCAATCCAAAGTGCTCAAAAGAAAGATCACTTACATTTAAACAGAAGTTACTAACAAAAGTGCAGGTGGTTGCCCTTGATGTCATCCATGTCCCCGAGAGGCAGGATCAGGACTGAATTAGTGGTAAAGGTCAAAACTTTGTGGGAAAGAAAAGGAAGGTCTGTATGACTGTATAAGAGGAAATTTATACCATCCATTCCTCCACGCAGATTTATTGCCTAACTACTTACGTAACGTGTAGGATTTATGTATGATATACTCTACAGCACATTTTGTATCTGAATTCCTATAGGAGTTATATCTAAATAGAGATTCTTTAAAAAACAAACAAACCACACATATGGAACAATTAGCCAGAAATTCAAGTTGAGTTTAGTTTTAGACAAGTCTCATTGATGTGCATGAGTAAATAAATGGTGATTGGAATGTGCAGAGAGTTAACACCTGGCTCTTTTGATTTATGCTTCTGTTTGCTTCCTCAGTTAATTTTCTATTGTGTTTAATTACCTTAAAATCTCTCCAGCACCCATGAAAATCGGTAGATGGTTTTTGGTATCATAGTATGTTGATTTCAGTCGTTTCCTAATCACCATCAATATAAAAAGTACTTGCTTAGCAAATAAATAAATGAATGAATTTAGAAGTCCAGAGAATGTTGCTTAGTTACTGAAGAAAATAATAGTAGTATTATGCATAATAATAGTGAATTCTTAATTATTCATTTCATATTTACTTTATGGCAGGTGTTTTACTTTGAGACAATACTGACTTGGTTATAAATTCTACTGGATCTCTTTGCTCTCAAGTGTGTTTCAAGGGATATTTTTCTTAACATCCTCGTAGATTTAATCTAATAGGAGAGAGCACATTCATAGAAAAAATAAGTCTTGTTTGGTTTTGGTACTAAATTGGCATAAGTCCTGTGTGATCGCAAGTCTGATCACAGGCCCAAGTGGGCAAGTTGTGAGGGGAAAGAGCACAGAAGACTGAAGGGAAGACCCAGAGACGCCAAGTGAGATGTGAGGGTTTACTGGGACTTGCTTGCAGGGACTCCAGGAACAGCCAGCTGGACGAGGCTGTACACAGCTCTCGTGGACAGGGAGGGGCAAGAGGACAGAGACTACACGTGTTCCACGGAGCAAAGACTATGGGCTTCGCTAGAGGGGATCATTCGTGTGGGACCAGTGCCCCGAGGAACAAAACTTTGGTCAGGGGGTCTCCTCTCAGTAAGATGTTTCCATAGAGAAGGTGGGCCTGGATTTGGCCAGCCCCAGGCTGTTAACACACTGAAGGAGGGGCCTAGGTGGGCATATGGTTATTTGGGGACAAAAGGTTATAAGCAGGCAGTGCTTGCCCCTAAAGTCTATTATTATTCATTACTGCCTTGCACACAAATACAATACAAAATTGCTACTGATTAGTCATTTTTCTGCTACTCAGCCTCCAAATTATCCTTAAATCTGAAGACCATCATGGCACAACCTCCTGTCTTTCGCACAATCTGCATCTCTTATTTTTCCATATATCAAAAATCTTATAACTGCAGAATCATTAAAGTTTTTTCTACATAAGCCAGATCTCTTAGGTGACAATAACCTTCCTTTCGTCTCTATACCAGTGCTGGCCAACAGACATGTGATGTGAACTACGTATATAAATAAAACTTATAGCCTTATTTTTTTAGTGTGTCAAGAAACAGGTGAAATTAATTTTATATTATATTTCACTTAAATCAATAGATCCCAAATAGTATTTCAGCAGGTAGCCAATATCATTATTAATGAGAGACTTCCTATTCTATTTTTTTGCCCTAAGTCTTTGGAATCTGATGACTGGGTTGAAATCTGATAACCACACTCTAAGTGCTTAGTAGCCTAACTAGACTAGTTGCTGTATGTTGGAGAGTGCAGGTTGTTGGTAGCAGCCCTGGGTTTGTTTCATTTTCTTGAAACTTTTCTTTAATCCAGTTCTTTATATTGTATCTAGTGCTCACCCCAAATATATAACTTCATATTATATATTTGACCTGAACTGAATATCTGCTTGCCTGAATCATCAAACATCTCTTCTCAGGTGCTTGGCCTCTGCTCCCAACTGAGCTTTGAGTCTTAATGTCCAGCAACAAACAAAAATAAATAAAGCAAAAAACACTCCCATGCACACAAATATTTAGCAACAATCCTTTATCAAAAGCACAATATCCACCAGTGTTCTGGAGGTCAATAAATCTAGAAAGACAACTTACATTGACTACACTCCAATGAGTCCAAGTGCCAAACTATGCTTCAAAAGATTTTTTTTTTATGATTTAACATTTCCTGAGACAGAAAATGTCACCAACATGATTATGCTATTATTTAAAGCCATTTACAAGTCTGACAGCTTTCTGGATCTAAGTTTTTGAGAGTGTTGATTGAATAAACAACAGTTATATGTGTGTAATTAATGTACCAGCTTCCTCCAGAGTTTTGCTTTGAAACCATTGGTATCAGCACAAATTCACTGCTTGTCCCTAAAAGAGGATGAATCCTTAGTGTAGAGCTGAAAAAATATTTGTCCATGGCTAGCTTTGTGGTTCCACATAGCCATGTAATAGTCTAAACTGCTTTCATCTCTGGCTGG